CGTGGATATCGTCAGTGTAATACGGGTATTGCTGTAGTGGCTATAGTCAAGGTAATACGGGTATTGCTGTAGTGGCTATCGTCAGTGTAATACGGGTATTGCTGCCGTGGATATCGTCAGTGTAATACGGGCATTGCTGTAGTGACTATAGTCAAGGTAATACAGTGGTATTGCTGTAGTGGCTATCGTCAGTGTTATACGGGTATTGCTGTAGTTGCTATTGTCAAGTGTAATACGGGTATTGCTGCCGTGGATATCGTCAGTGTTATACGGGTATTGCTGTAGTGGCTATCGTCAGTGTAATACGGGTATTGCTGTAGTGGCTATCGTCAATGTAATACGGGTATTGCTGTAGTGGCTATCGTCAATGTAATACGGGTATTGCTGCCGTGGATATCGTCAGTGTAATACGGGCATTGCTGTAGTGGCTATCGTCAAGGTAATACGGGTATTGCTGTAGTGGCTATCGTCAGTGTATACGGGTATTGCTGTAGTGGCTATCGTCAGTGTAATATATTGCTGTAGTGGCTATCGTCAGTGTAATACGGGTATTGCTGTAGTTGCTATTGTCAGTGTAATGCGGGTATTGCTGTAGTGGCTATCGTCAGTGTTATACGGGTATTGCTGCCGTGGCTATCGTCAGTGTTATACGGGTATTGCTGTAGTGGCTATCGTCAAAGTGTTATACGGGTATTGCTGTAGTGGCTATCGTCAGTGTTATACGGGTATTGCTGCCGTGGCTATCGTCAGTGTTATACGGGTATTGCTGTAGTGGCTATCGTCAGTGTAATACGGGTATTGCTGCCGTGGCTATCGTCAGTGTTATACGGGTATTGCTGTAGTGACTATCGTCAGTGTTATACGGGTATTGCTGTAGTGGCTATCGTCAGTGTTATACGGGTATTGCTGTAGTGGCTATCGTCAGTGTAATACGGGTATTGCTGCCGTGGCTATCGTCAGTGTAATACGGGTATTGCTGTAGTGGCTATCGTCCGGTGTTATACGGGTATTGCTGTAGTGGCTATCGTCAGTGTAATACGGGTATTGCTGCTAGTGACTATCGTCAGTGTTATACGGGTATTGCTGTAGTGGCTATCGTCAGTGTAATACGGGTATTGCTGTAGTGGCTATCGTCAGTGTAAGACGGTTATTGCTGCCGTGGCTATCGTCAGTGTTATACGGGTATTGCTGTAGTGGCTATCGTCAGTGTAATACGGGTATTGCTGCCGTGGCTATCGTCAGTGTAATACGGGTATTGCTGCCGTGGCTATCGTCAGTGTAATACGGGTATTGCTGTAGTGACTATAGTCAAGGTAATACGGGTATTGCTGTAGTGACTATCGTCAGTGTTATACGGGTATTGCTGTAGTGGCTATCGTCAGTGTTATACGGGTATTGCTGTAGTGGCTATCGTCAGTGTAATACGGGTATTGCTGTAGTGGCTATCGTCAGTGCAATACGGGTATTGCTAGTGGCTATCGTGGCTATCGTCAGTGTTATACGGGTATTGCTGTAGTGGCTATCGTCAGTGTAATACGGGTATTGCTGTAGTGGCTATCGTCAGTGTAATACGGGTATTGCTGTAGTGGCTATCGTCAGTGTAATACGGGTATTGCTGTAGTGGCTATCGTCAGTGTAATACGGGTATTGCTGCCGTGGCTATCGTCAGTGTTATACGGGTATTGCTGTGGTGGATATCGTCAAGGTAATACGGGTATTGCTGTAGTGGCTATCGTCAGTGTTATACGGGTATTGCTGCCGTGGCTATCGTCAGTGTTATACGGGTATTGCTGTAGTGACTATCGTCAGTGCAATACGGGTATTGCTGTAGTGGCTATCGTCAGTGTAATACGGGTATTGCTGTAGTGGCTATCGTCAGTGCAATACGGGTATTGCTGTAGTGGCTATCGTCAATGTAATACGGGTATTGCTGTAGTGGCTATCGTCAGTGTGCAATACGGGAATTATTGCTGTGGTGGCTATCGTCAAGGTAATACGGGTATTGCTGTAGTGGCTATCGTCAGTGTTATACGGGTATTGCTGTAGTGGCTATCGTCAGTGTAATACGGGTATTGCTGTAGTGGCTATCGTCAGTGTTATACGGGTATTGCTGCCGTGGCTATCGTCAGTGTTATACGGGTATTGCTGTGGTGGATATCGTCAGGTAATACGGGTATTGCTGTAGTGGCTATCGTCAGTGTTATACGGGTATTGCTGCCGTGGCTATCGTCAGTGTTATACGGGTATTGCTGTGGTGGATATCGTCAAGGTAATACGGGTATTGCTGTAGTGGCTATCGTCAGTGTTATACGGGTATTGCTGCCGTGGCTATCGTCAGTGTTATACGGGTATTGCTGTAGTGACTATCGTCAGTGTTATACGGGTATTGCTGTAGTGGCTATCGTCAAGGTAATACGGGTATTGCTGTAGTGACTATCGTCAGTGCAATACGGGTATTGCTGTAGTTGCTATCGTCAAGGTAATACGGGTATTGCTGTAGTGGCTATCGTCAGTGTTATACGGGTATTGCTGCCGTGGCTATCGTCAGTGTAATACGGGTATTGCTGTAGTGGCTATCGTCAAGGTAATACGGGTATTGCTGTAGTGGCTATCGTCAGTGTTATACGGGTATTGCTGCCGTGGCTATCGTCAGGTAATACGGGTATTGCTGTAGTGACTATCGTCAGTGCAATACGGGTATTGCTGCCGTGGCTATCGTCAAGGTAATACGGGTATTGCTGTAGTGACTATCGTCAGTGCAATACGGGTATTGCTGTAGTGGCTATCGTCAAGGTAATACGGGTATTGCTGTAGTGGCTATCGTCAGTGTTATACGGGTATTGCTGTAGTGGCTATCGTCAGTGCAATAGGGGTATTGCTGCCGTGGCTATCGTCAGTGTAATACGGGTATTGCTGTAGTGGCTATCGTCAGTGCAATAGGGGTATTGCTGTAGTTGCTATCGTCAGTGCAATACGGGTATTGCTGTAGTTGCTATCGTCAAAGCCAAGCCATGCTGAACACGATCGACGATCACGTCTCGTCGGCGCTCACGGACAGTAAAATCCCTGAAGAAGAGTTCCGCCTGATTTTAGCCGAACTCACCAAGTACCACCGAATGAAGGAAGAGATTCGAACCAAGACTTGGAAAACCGCCGACTTCCGCGAAGACGAGAAAAACAAGCTCATAGATCAAGGCCGACAACAAATCATTCAATCCTTCCTGACCAAGAAAAAAGACCTCGTAAAAGATGCACGTTAAACTGCTTTGTAGATGTCATTATGACATAGACGAGTACAAAAAAAACCAAAACAAAAAACAAACAAAAACCGGCGACCACGAGCGCGCTGTCAATCCCTTTGATGCCTCTTGTCAGACCCGCGCTACTTTTTAAGAGGGGATGGGAGGCTTATTTGTGGTTATTAAGCCTCTTAGCCGCATCTGATGCAGAACCCCCACTGTACTACTACTATTCTCATAACACTATCGTCAAGGTAACACGGGTATTGCTCTAGTGGCTATCAAGACAACAGGGCGCACATGTGAGCTCGAAAAGTCTTCTACATCATCCGCGCGAGGAGCCCAGCTGCACTGCCGACCTCAGGGCAGCAACGTGGATGTGTCCCGTGGTTCAACATCTAGTTCAACAATACGACGTCAGGAAAGCAACGTGGATGTGTCCCGTGGTTCAACATCTAGTTCAACGATACGATGGCAGGACACGTATCTACAGGCGTCCAGGTGAAAGTTATGTCAGGCCATGTGTTCTTGTTATAACCTGGCCTGGAACTATACATGGGACAAATGTGCCATCAGTCCTCAGTAAATGACGTCTTGGACAATTCGCAGTTTGGCTCCTTACACCCTCCTGTGGTTCATTGCCATTGCCATTAGTGTTGCGCCTTTACAGATGAATTATGAGTTTTCCAAGTGTTAGAAGATCCTTGACTTTACCGATGGTCATGTGTTTCCTCACAAGTAGACGAATAGCTGTGTTGTTAATGTTCAAATTAGTACCGATGTTTCCACAGGACATCCTTGAATTATTCATTCCAATAACTTGCCATCGACATTTTTTCTTAAATTCTGTCTTGTTGAAAAGTTCATTTTTCGAACTGCCGCATTTTAAAACAGTTCATCAAACTGTAGCACACATAGTGCAATTATGAAACGTATGCCTCAGTGTGCTAAGCGTCTTCGCCAGTGAGCATGCGAGACATAGCTTTTGAGATATTTTGTGTACACGTGATTTGCACGTGCATTCCAGTATGCTAGGGTATGATCACTTTTTTGAACCAAAATATTACAAAATGACATAGGATTCAGTAGCTGCTTAATAAATGCTCATTGGTATATGTACCAAAATACGACATTTGCATTTGAACATAGAAGCAATAAACAATCAAATGAAAACCTTGCTGAAAGCAGTCCATTGTACGATTCCGACAATACCATTAGCATATGACACTTCTCACAAACACATGCGGGCGGTGGGGTAGCCTTGTGGTTAAAGCGTTCGCTCGTCACGCTGAAGACCCGGGTTCGATTCTCACATGGGTACAATGTGTGAAGCCCATTTCTGGTGTCCCTCGCCGTGGTATTGCTGGAATATTGCTAAAAGCGGCGTAAAACTAACACTCACTCACAAACACGTGCAAATACAATGCGGGAGCATGTGGAACAAGTTACATATGGAGCTGCATCACACACCAGTTTTGTCACTGATGCCTCACTTAGGACATCCCTTCCAGGAGCACCCCAAAAACCACATTGAACCTGGGCCGAGATCTTGAGATCTGGTAACCTTGATCCAACTCCTGATCTAGAGTAGTATGGCAAGCTTTGAATTGAAAACTTATACTGATGGAAGTGAGTGAGTGAGCTCAGGTTTACGCGGCACTCAGGAATATACCAGATATATGGCGGCGGTCTGTAAATAATGGAAACTGGACCAGAAAATCCAGAAAAGTGGAGTTCTCAATATATAACACAACACATGTGCAAATGAATTATAAATTTTAATATTGAACAAATGCATAAAACACAAGACATACAAGTATAAAACAGTTTCATCAGAAATGAACCATTTACTCACAGCAGTCGTCTAGTTCTGTGTAACAACATCCCTGACGCACGTTCTCATCACTCACAGAGAAACAACTCGTTTAAGAAAACAAAGGTTGAAGAAATCAGTCACTCTAACAAAGTGGACTACAGTACCAGTCAACAGCTCACCGAGGTGGACTACAGTACCAGTTAACAGTTCACCATGGTGGACTACAGTACCAGTTAACAGTTCACCATGGTTGAGTACAGTACCAGTTAACAGTTCACCAAGGTGGATTACAGTACCGGTTAACAGCTCACCAAGGTGGACTACAGTACCAGTTAACAGTTCACCATGGTGGACTACAGTACCAGTTAACAGTTCACCATGGTGGACTACAGTACCAGTTAACAGCTCACCATGGTGGACTACAGTACCAGTTAACAGCTCACCAAGGTGGACTACAGTACCAGTCAACAGCTCACCATGGTTGACTACAGTACCAGATAACAGTTCACCATGGTGGACTACAGTACCGGTTAACAGCTCACCATGGTGGTATACAGTACCAGTTAACAGTTCACCAAGGCGGACTACAGTACCAGTCAACAGCTCACCAAGGTGGTATACAGTACCAGTCAACAGCTCACCAAGGTGGTCTACAGAACCAGTTAACAGCTCACCATGGTGGACTACAGTACCAGTTAACAGTTCACCATGGTGGACTACAGTACTGGTTAACAGCTCACCATGGTGGTATACAGTACTGGTTAACAGTTCACCAAGGCGGACTACAGTACCAGTCAACAGCTCACCAAGGTGGTATACAGTACTGGTTAACAGTTCACCAAGGTGGACTACAGTACCAGTTAACAGCTCAAAACACAAGCTAAGAAAAGATACTTGATTCCATTCAATATCTCACCATCCATTTCAGAAATGATAACTGATTGCATTCAACATCTCACCATACAAGCTAAGAAAAGATACTTGATTCCATTCAACATCTCACCATCCATTTCAGAAATGATAACTGATTGCATTCAACATCTCACCATACAAGCTAAGAAAGGATAATTGATTAAATTCAACATCTCACCATACAAGCTAAGAAAAGATACTTGATTCCATTCAACATCTCACCATCCATTTCAGAAATGATAACTGATTGCATTCAACATCTCACCATACAAGCTAAGAGAGGATAATTGATTGCATTCAACATCTCACCATACAAGCTAAGAAAGGATAATTGATTGCATTCAACATCTCACCATACAAGCTAAGAAATGATAACTGATTGCATTTAACCTCTCGTCACAAGCTGAGAAAGGATATTTGATTGTATTTAACCTCTCACCATACAAGCTGAGAAAGAATAATTGATTGCATTCAACATCTCACCATACATTTAAGAAAAGATAACTGATTGCATTCAACACCTTACCAAACAAGGGAAGATATAACCGGTTCCATCAATGTTAACTGGGGAACTTACATTCAACAATCACCACACCATTCAACAAGTATACTGATTCAATATAGCTTCCCACCATACTAATTCAGCAAGATATCATATTCTTTCAACTCTGCAAACATGGATTGACAATTCTGTCTTCTTTCTCACCATACTTATAACCGTTTTACAGATTCATTCAACAATCAACCAACCAAATTGAACATAGATAGCTGTCTCAGATACTAAAGCAACAGTTACTGATCCCATTCAACAGTTCACCATAAGACGGAAGCAGAGAATACTATACAAGATGTATTACAAATCTGTGGTGCCGAAAGATATGGTTACAGTGATAACAGTAATCAGCACTAAATCTACAATGAAAGAATGAACAAGCTAAAATCCATAAATCTTCAGAAGCTACTACTGACATTCAACAACTCACCAGTTACCAGGTTATGCTGACACATTCTATTCAACAACTCACCTTAATAGCAAGCAGTAAATACCATTTCCATAGCAATCAAACAGAAGGATGTACACATTCTGTTAAAAAATCTCATCATTCTTATCAAGTTATACTCCACATTCTATTCAACAACTCACCACAAATAGACAGATCTGTACACACATCAAAGAAGGACTAACACATTCTATTAAAAACTCACCAACGTTATCAAGTTAAACTTCCACATTCTATTCAACAACTCACCATAAATAAATAGAAGTGAATTAACCAAGTAGACGGACGTACACATTCAATTAAAATACTTACCAGACATTCGGAACAATGCATGCCTACCACATTCAACAACTGCTATGAGAAACGCCCTGGAATTACTGACACCATGTAACAACACTAAAACAAAGATGGACAGAAACTTAAAACAAATAGGACATTTTGAAGAGACGTAAGAAGTGACCATCTACTGGACAAAGTCGATGACTTTCACAATGAACGTGTTTCTTTGATTATGCTGAGTGGTGAACACACCCTGTGTTGTCTCCAACGAATTACATGTCACACAGATTTCAATTTTTACACGTTTTATTACTGTAACATCAGGCCAGAAGTTTACAAAAAGAATAAAACGAATTAAATGCTTTCAGTAGTATTGCAGGGGGTTGAGGACAGTGAGAGCAAGATTTATTGATTCAAAGAAATAGATAGAGTCTGGTTTTACTCTCGTTCTGATTGTTAGAATAATAACTTGAATTCACACTAGAGTCTAAAATTTGTTTTGTTTTTTATTGTATTTGTTTTGAGGTACTGAATACTGGGAGTATTTTTTGATTATCAAAACATGCTAATCAAGTTCTTTTCATAATTCAGGAAACATGGCCCATAGTACAGATGTAAGATAAAGTATATTTAGATCACATATCCAGAGTGTTACATCGTGTCGATCGCATTTCAAATAACTTGCATAAATATAAAACTATCAAAACATTTGACCTTTGGATAACAAACATAACCTAAAAACAATATTTTCCCTGAAATAATATTTTTCTATCAGTGGATCCATAAACCACGTGAAACAAAGAAGCCCCTACAAGATGTATGGTTAAATGATTGCTGGTACAACTTTCTGTTGATGTAATAACATCCTGAATCCTTCCACTGGCCTCATCTTTCTGTGATGTTCTACACCCAAGGTGATAGGGAGAGGTCATCTGTCTTGAAACCATAGAAACAAGTCTAGTATTTATTTCAAGAGAAACCTCACTAATCTTACAATTTACACTTACCATCAAAACTGTCTAAGAATCAAAAGCTTGACATGCAGGAAACTCGTTGCGACTTTCTTCTAACCCTTTCTATCATGATGTTAAATGGTGGTACACGTGAAGATCCGGGTTAGAATTGGTCTTCAATAACCCATGCTTGAGGCTAAAGAGGGGGGGAGGGGGAGGGAGGAGGAGGAGGCTTGCTGACTTGGTTGACATATGTCATCATATCCTAATTGTGTTGATTGATGCTCAAGCTGTTGATCACTGGATTGTCTGGTCTCAGACTCGTTTTACAGACCGCTGCCATATAGCTGGAATATTGCTGAGTGTGACGTAAAACAACAAACCTAATCTAGACGGCTGTATGTATTTATTTGTTTGTTGCTAAACACTGCACTCTACAAGTTTACAGATTGTTTGTAAGTAATCGAGTCTGGACTATACAATCCAGTCACTGATATCATCTAAGGAATCTACACTGATCTACGGAATAGGGATATGATGAAATGGATCAACCAAGTCAGAGAGCCTTATCCCTGACCTTTTGCGACAAACAAGCTTTGCTGAAAACCAGTTCTAACCTGGATCTTCATGGCAGTAAGTGTGATGGTCATGAACCTTTTCATGTTGTGTCATATCGGACACAAAAAATAAATAATTTGAAATACAATGTCATAGCTGATAAATACAGGAGAAACAATATTTTGAATATATAAATTGTATGGTCCAATATGTGATTACCTCAACACAGATAGTCTAGAAGAAATAGCTTGCTAATGTTCTGTATGTGTCGGCATAGTAAGTCTTTGGTCAATATCTCCCCTTCCCGTAATCTCCATCTGACAACCTTTCTATTTAGCTTGCACGAAAGATGCTCAACTCTATCTGTCAACCTCTCTATGGTAGCTTTAGAGTGCTCAGCTCAATTAGAATCTTTTCATGTAACCATTCTGTGTAATTAGTTTGAATCAAAGAAAGAAACTTTTTTATGCATTGTGCCAGAAACAGAAGACACAAACAGTCTTCAGAATTATAGGAGAGAAGCTATTATAGCAACCTCACTGAAGTTTATAGTAGAATTGGTTTCAAAGCTAACACCGTTTTCTACATGACCAGTGCTGGCGGCCTGAAACTTTGTGTGAAAGAAAAACCCAGTTAGAATTATGCCATTGAGACATTCCAACAAGTGAACAAGCGATTGTAGGAAAACCATAATGACTGTTTGTTCTGATGTTTAGGAAGTTGTTTTGTGTAGAAAGGGTTGATGAGGCAGGATGATGGTAATCAGAGATCAGAGCTAGATCTACCTCCTGAGGACTGACTGACTGAGTTTTGGTTTTCGCCGCTTTTAGCAATATTCCAGCAACATAGCGTGGGGGACACCAGAAATGGGCTTCACACATTGTACCCATGTGGGGATTGAACCACGGGTCTTGATTGTGAAAAACAAATGAGCGCTTTAACCACTAGGCTATCCCACGCCCACCTCCTGAGGAAATTTGATAGATTCACCTGGTTCAGAGTCTAGTGTGAGTGAGTTTAGTTTTACGCCGCTTTTAGCAATAGTCCAGCAATATCACGGCGGGGGACACCAGAAATGGGCTTCACACATTGTACCCATGTGGGGAATCGAACCCGGGTCTTGACGTGATGAGCGAACGCTTTAACCACTAGGCTACCCCACCGCACCTCAGAGCCTAGGAGCCACACTTGCTGTAATATCAGACCCAGTACAACATGATGTATCTACATCTGATGCCGGTATTAAATTGCAACTGAATATTGGAAATAATCATTAAAACGTCTATAAGATATTCTTACTGAATATTCAGCATTTATATCATGGTATACAAAATAACATCACTTTAAACAACAGTTATCAATATCTTTGTAATTTAAATGCATGCAAAAATTGAGATACTACATGTATACATCATGTATCTAGTATGTTCATGTAAAACACATCTTACCAAGACTTATACATGAATTGTTAAGATATTAATATATTTAATCAGTGAAAATATCTGCAATAAAAATGTCGATTTTGACAAGTATGGAAGTAACATTTCAGGTGAACTGTATATTTCATCTCCATGTGCTACCATTTGAACAAAGTCCCTTTATATAAAGGGGGATATAAATATCTCAAGTAATGTAAAAATTCCAAGTATTAAATGTAACGAGCTACACTATAACATTACAATCAGTAAATGCAATGCATGTTACTTAAGCATTACATTACAACATACATTGTCTCCCTGCTAATGACATAGACCACATCAATCAACCTGTGTTTACCTAGCTGACAGGTGATTGACAGCTGCCCCTACTGACATGTACAAGTAAAATTAACAAATCCACGTTCAAGACAATTTGTTTTCTAAAGAAAATAATTATTTGAAAGCCGACTATGTACCTAACTGGTATTTTGGCCAAATTTTGACATGCCTTTTTCAATAAAATGTCTTAAATTGAGAAAAATATTTAAAGAGTAACAAGGTGTGAGTGAAATAGGAATATGTTTAAAACTGTTCAGATGTGAAGACTGACATCTATGTGTAGACAAGATAACCAATGTTAGACTACAAGCAACATTTCATGAAGATGACATGGATATTTTTGGTCCAGAGTGTCCAACACAACATCTAACATACAGAATATGGAATATGTTTATAAAATCAATAAATAATATTGATTCCATATAGTGAGATTTTGCAAAAGAAAGAAATTGCATTAATATTATCTATAAACATTCAAAGTACTGACACAACACAGTCAAGTTACATGTATCAGTGCCTGGATATGGGACATTGTGCCAGGAAGAAATACTTCTCTAGGTTTTCCAGTAAGCACAAGTGTAGAGAATGGGTGCAGAAAACCACAACTACTGCATCCGGAGAGAAGCAGAGAAATACCAAGAGTATACCTACAGCATTCAAGAGAAGTAATCTGTGACTGTTATTTGACCCATCTGTCATGACCACTGTCCACATGACCGGATTCATTCCAGGCTCTGAAGTCATTAACTGAACGTACACTACATCATCTGTATACGTTATAACACCCTCATATTACCTGCAAGGACCCGAAAACTTTACTGATGCAAGTCCCTTAGACCCACACTTTTGTCAAGTCCAGGTAAAACACTGCATCTTTCAGTTTAGATATGTCCCCAATCCCTTTCACATTTGTGAATAAAATATGTTTAAATCAATTAGATATGGAACACGGAGAGAGAAAGAAGTAAAAATTGGAGTTACATATTTGTTTCTGCATCAAACATGCACTTTATTCAGTAATTGAGACGCAAGGGACCTTGAGAACAACATATACTGAACAACATTAGAAACGCACCACCCATATAATACGAAATATCCCTGTCAGACAGAAATGTACCCATGATATCTGAGCATCGTCGGTGCATTTTAGTGTGGTGCGTTTCTAATGTTGTTCAGTATATTTATTTACATCCTGCTAATATTTCAGAAACATATTTCACTTTCACAATAACACTATCCCAGATTAAGTTTACACTTGTTTATTGATAAACACGGCCTGAGATCTATGTGAATAAAAACATCTTAATATAAAATCTAAAGACTATTTTGTCTCGGATAATAACAAATTGAAAATATCTTCACTGAATGTAACAAGTGTTCTCAATGTGCTGTGTTTCATAATATAACTTAATATACATATTCTGATCAAACAAATGGGATAAAGAATATTTTTTAGTAAGAAGCTATGATTGAGCTTGCATGAAGTCGCAATAAAAATACATATACACAGATTTATGTTTTTGAAAAAAAACATGAAAATATTGCTATATATATGAAAATACTGTGTTGTGCTTGTAATTATAATAAACGATACTAAATACATTCAAAGGTAATAATGATATCACAAGCATGAACCAACTATGTTGTTACCATTCATATGCATAATTAATAATCATTCACAGCTTTATAATAATAAATAACCTCAAGCTAACAATCACGTGGAGACGTATATTTACACAAAAAGCAGATTTACTATGACCACAGTCGGACCAGTGATGACATTCATCCACTTGCTCTCTCATATTCAAAATAGTCAGATAGCGAATATATTTATATATCATGTAAGTTAAAACCCATCGATGACAAGGAAGCTCTGAGATAGGACAAATTGCAGATAGAAAATATCATTTTGTACATAAAAGATGTATCATCAAAATGATGACCCTTAGAAATGGACAATAAAATTGTAAGTATTACCAAACCCTAAATAAAAACACGGTGGACACTCAGCGTCATTGGGACTTCCTGGCGGTCATCTTCCTCTGTCGACTCCTGAAACATACAAGTGAGTTAATGATGAGGTTATCCAACGCATCTCACTATACACATAGATGAGGCTACCACACACAAACAAGTGTTTTAGGTGTAGTTACATATACCCTCCCATGGGAAGACTATTTGTCAGGGTGGTGGGATACTCAGTGGTTAAAGCGTTTGCTCACCAAGCCGAAGACCCGGGTTCAATTCCACATGTGGGTACAATGTGTGAAGCCCATTTCTAGAGTCCCCTGCCGTTATATTGCTGGAATATTGCTAAATGCAGCGTTAAACCATACTCACTCACTCATATGGTAGGTCAGGAAAACAGGCGATAACTATTCACATAGTCTCCACCAATATTGTAATCAAATATGAAACTGAAAATTTGCCCTTAGTCTTAGTCCTAGTTCAAAACTATGTCTGACTTAGGGACAGCAAAATTAATAGTCAATAAGGGACCGTTCACAATTTATGGCTAGGGGGTGATGATCATTTTTTATGGAGAGACATGTACAATGTGAATGACCCCCCCTAAAATTTATGTACAAAATAAGTGAACCCCTGCATGTCATGTACAAAATCAATGACCCCCCTCCCCTTCCTATAATTTATAAGCATAATTTTAAACATACTTTTATGTACAAAATTGCTGACTCCCCCTAGTACGTGTGTACAAAATTGATGGACCCTCCAGCTCCCCAGAACAAAATGGGTGGACCCCCCCTTTTTAAAAATCATCATCACCCCCCTAGCCATAAATTATGAATGGTCCCTAAGTGACAGGACATTTTTCATTCAAATTCTGTATTTAATTCAGCCCAGTATGACGTCAGTCATTAGAGTCTGAGGTCTTAATAACCGTTTGAAGAGTCAAGGAACAAATCTTGATATATGCTACTCAAACAAAGTGAAGCAAAACCTAAAATTAGAAGCGACTAACGGGATCGGGTCGTCAAGTTTGCTGACTTGGTTGACACATGTCATCGCATCCCAGTTGCTTAGATCGATGCTCTTGATGTCTGGTCCAGACTCGATTATTTACAGACCATATAGTTGGTATATTGCTGGGTGCAGCGTTAAACAACAAACCAGCCACCTACTCATCACTCTGGGTCTGGTTATCGTTGCTCATGGCAGCATGTATGATGATGTCAACACTTCTGATTCATACAAACGTTTAGCTGACACAAAACATTCGGACAGGCTGATACCTACCTCGCTTCTGTCCTTGACGAGGTGTATTCGAACCACATCACATGGGGAATAAGTGTAGAATCTCTTAACATTAACAGCTCGCCTAAAGGGCTGAAACAGAACGTTGAGATCTGAAGTCCAGTACCCTCCTGTATCTAACATCATGACATAGCACAGTGATATCACTGCTGACTTGTGTGCTGCACAAAACTGTTGCAGCAACTGCTTATGAACATCAAGACATTAAATACTTCAGATTTTGAGTATCTATCATAACTGGTAATTAACAACATCCAATGGTTAGAATTCAGAATCACAATGGTATGTTTGATTACCACACAGCCATAAGAGAACTAACAAGATACAGAGGAACGACTGTGTTTTACGATTCTAATGAGTTATAACGATGCTGCCAATGGGAGAATACTCTGGTGTGACTTACCAGGCTATGAGGGGAGATAACTGCCGAAATACAGACAAGCTGTTGTAAAGGGAGATAACTGCATAATTACACCCTAAACTGGTGCAAAGGGACATAACTGAGAAACAGTATTAATCTTCTAGAGAAAAGGGGTGTATTGTGGAGGGGGGTGTAGGCTGAGGTTGAATGTAAAATGATAAGGGGTGCAGGGTGCTGTTGACATTGAAATGATAGGTGGTGTACAGTGGCGGTGACTGTGAAATGATAAGGGGTGTAGGGTGGGGTTGACTGTGAAATGATAAGGGGTTTTAGGGTAAGGGTGACTGTGAAATGATAATCGGAGTAGGGTGAGGTTGACTGTGAAATGATAAGGGGTGTAGGGTGGGGTTGACTGTGAAATGATAAGGGGTTTTAGGGTAAGGGTGACTGTGAAATGATAAGGGGTGTAGGGTGAGGTTGACTGTGAAATGATAAGGGGTGTAGCGTGGGGTTGACTGTGAAATGATAAGGGGTTTTAGGGTAAGGGTGACTGTGAAATGATAAGGGGTTTTAGGGTAAGGTTGACTGTGAAATGATAAGGGGTTTTAGGGTGAGGTTGACTGTGAAATGATAAGGGGAGTAGGGTGAGGTTGACTGTGAAATGATAAGGGTGTAGGGTAAGGTTGACTGTGAAATGATAAGGGGTTTTAGGGTAGGGTGAGGGTGACTGTGAAATGATAAGGGGTGTAGGGTGAGGTTGACCGTGAAATGATAAGGGGTGTAGGTGAGACTGACTGTGAAATGATAAGGGTTTTAGGGTAAGGGTGACTGTGAAATGATAAGGGGTTTTAGGGTGAGACTGACTGTGAAATGATAAGGGGTTTTAGGGTAAGGGTGACTGTGAAATGATAAGGACTGTGAAATGATAAGGGTGTAGAGTGAGGGTTTTAGGGTAAGGGTGACTGTGAAATGATAAGGGTTTTAGGGTGAGACTGACTGTGAAATGATAAGGGTTTTAGGGTAAGGGTGACTGTGAAATGATAATGATAAGGGGTTTAGGGTGAGGTTGACTGTGAAATGATAAGGGTTTTAGGGGTAAGGGTGACTGTGAAATGATAAGGGGTTTAGGGTAAGGTTGACCGTGAAATGATAAGGGGTTTTAGGGTGAGACTGACTGTGAAATGATAAGGGGTTTTAGGGTAAGGGTGACTGTGAAATGATAAGGGGTTTTAGGGTGAGACTGACTGTGAAATGATAAGGGGTTTTAGGGTAAGGGTGACTGTGAAATGATAAGGGGTGTAGGGTGAGGTTGACTGTGAAATGATAAGTGGTGTAGGGTGAGGTTGACTGTGAAATGATAAGGGGTTTTAGGGTAAGGGTGACTGTGAAATGATAAGGGGTGTAGGGTGAGGTTGACCGTGAAATGATAAGGGGTTTTAGGGAAAGGGTGACTGTGAAATGATAAGGGGTGTAGGGTGAGGTTGACTGTGAAATGATAAGTGGTGTAAGGTGAGGTTGACTGTGAAATGACTTACCAAGCTGCTATAAGGGGAAACAGTGGAGTCATCACAAACTGCACCACACCGAAATATAGTGTTCCTAGAATGATCCCTGCCACAGCTCCCCAAAACACTTGACCCAGTGAATGATACACCAGGTAAACTCTGAAAGTCAAACAGAAGAAGTAATAAACAGGATAAACACAGGAAGCCATAACACTGTAAACACAGGCGAGTATAATCATGGAATCGTGGATAAAGCATTATAACAGTAAACACAGGCGAGTATAATCAAGGAATTGTGGATAAAGCATTATAACAGTAAACACAGGCGGGTATAATCATGGAATCGTGGATAAAGCATTATAACAGTAAACACAGGCGGTATAATCATGGAATCGTGGATAAAGCATTATAACAGTAAACACAGGCGAGTATAATCATGGAATTGTGGATAAAGCATTATAACAGTAAACACAGGCGGGTATAATCATGGAATCGTGGATAAAGCATTATAACAGTAAACACAGGCGGGTATAATCATGGAATCGTGGATAAAGCATTATAACAGTAAACACAGGCGAGTATAATCATGGAATCGTGGATAAAGCATTATAACAGTAAACACAAGACAGTTATAACCACACAAAAAAACAATCTAACTCAGACAGTTGTAATTATAGTAAACACAGACAGTTATCAACATAATGAACGAAACCCATGCCTGACAGTAAACTGTATTATTTTCAACATGATGTAAGTCAAGTGGGAAAATAACTGCTCTTAAGGACACAAGACCCTGAAAGCAGGTATGAACACATGTGACTTTTGTGTCAGATTACCAACATCTGTCATCAATGTCCCTATACATATTGATCACATTGACGTCGATTTCACATCAATCACAGCTGTCAGGACCATGTTATCTGATCCAGGGAATCTGTGTACCCAGCAGTCAGCTGCCAGGTCACACCTGTTTCACCCCACGACAATTCTCAACAAGAAAAGTTATGCATCATGAATTTCTTAGGTTTATTTAAATGTGTACAGTATAGAAATCATATTTCATGTTCCTTAACTTTCTTGTTCAGTATAGTTCAGGCAGAGGTTATGGCATTATAGTTTTTTTCAGTGTTTATAAATCATAAGCCATTATATTAAACACATCACAAAAATAGGAAGATGTGAGCCAGGTATGCCTTTCCTCTGCCCAAAACATTATGACCAAATTTGACTGTCAGTCAATTGGACAAACAGCAAAACACAAACGCTGTGTAATTATACCCACAGAAAATAATCCAAGCTACCACATAACTGGTCATGGCAAACTTTCTCTCACCTGCTGTACGATACTAAAGCTGCTACGACAAATCCACCAAAACTGGTTGCATATTTCCATAGATCATCTAACCAGGTATAATTTTTATACACTCTGCAAAAACAATAAAATGAATCAGAACTATTCATGAATAATACATTAATGTACAAATTGGTATGGTTATAATGTACAGAGGATTGATGTTCTAAAAAAGCACATGTATGTCAGTCACATCATGCTTAAAGTATCTTTACACAATAATCTTGAAAATCTTGAAAATAAAACAACAAATTGTGAGTGAGTGAGTGTTGTGTACATTAATCAATGTTCCATATATACTATTCATAAGAAATTCAAGAACACATGGCTTTAGCGAGTGAGTGAGTTTCGTTTTACGCCGCTTTTAGCAATATTCTAGCAATATCATGGTGGGGGACACCAGAAATGGGCTTCACACATTGTACCCATGTAGGGAATCGAATCCAGGTCTTCGGTGTGGCGAGCGAACGCTTTAACCGCTAGGCTACCCCACCGCCCCCACATGGCTTCAGAGTGAGTGAAGATTTACATATATTTTGAACAGTATTTCTGTTATGTTACAACATGTCAGTTTCATCTGGGAAAGTGATGCATATCTAACTTGTAAATGTTTACCACATTACTGAAACCCCCAAAACCTGGAACACCATCAGGATGAACCCATACATTGACTGGCATTCTCAGGGGACACAACTCTGCACACTGAATTACAGAGCCTTAGACAACACTGGTCAGGAATCTGAGGTATTCATCCACATCACAATATAACAATGTAACATAGCTAGCATTTAGAGATAGAACACTATCTTGTACAAATAACTGCATGTTTTCTATTAAAGAGAAGTAATTTATGAATCTGATTCCATTCTATGATGCCCTTTCATAATCCACTCAGTAACTGTAAGGAATATTACCTTCCACCCTTGAATCCGATTTTTGTATCTGATGCAATGTGAGCTGTACATGTGAATTAAACTTATGAAACCAGAACCAGCATTTACTATTTTTCTGCTCTCTTTAGTATGAGTATAACACATCTGAATTTCTGATGACATGATTCAAAGTAAATATGAATGAAGTCTTACCTGATAAATAGGAAAAATGTAAGATACATAGAAAAGAACCACATGAATTGTGAATGGCTTGATGGCATTCCATACTCATTGAACACATTTTTTCTATCTGAAAAATAAAAAAATAACAATGTTAATCAGAACACATCTTTTCTAAGAATTGAACGTAACTGACAATTTTAACTCTGAATATGATTTAATCTGGATCTGGCACATCAATGATTAGAAAGTAAAGGTCCACCTTGCAGTGGGGCATGAAAACACAAAATTGGCTAGATCTGAGTTTTATACTACTAAACAAAAAATGGAATCTGATTGGTCGAGACCTGTTAATACTCACCTCTCATTGGTCTGTATTCTCTTATGATGTGTTTAAGTACCAAGTTGATTGCCTCATTCACCAGCATACCCAAGAAGAAGGAAATCTTAGACAAAGAAGAAAATTGTCAACATAAAAATAAATGTTCTCTTTGATGCTAGGTATCTCCTGTATGCGAACCAAGATGGTACTCATGAAAACATATATACAAAAACTGAGATGAATGTATAACTGCAAATACACTTATTTTCAACAATCTTAGTAAATTCATTCCTTAATGACCGATTTGTATGTTTGTTAGTGTTTTCATGTGCTGTACTTACTGTGTGCAAATCTCTTCTGAAGATGATTAGTGTGACAAACGCTACGAGAATGAATATGGGCAGAAGACTCAGCCAGGCCAAGCCATATCCAATAATGTCACCTGCAGAACAACAAATATCACATTAATTAATTTTCCCAAAATTTACACATAAGTTATAATACAGTTTGCATGATTAATTCATGAACACTACAAGTTATAATTACATCTGTTAACATAAACTTATTATTTTACATGCTACCTGTTTTAATTTTCAGTAAACAAAATTCTTTGTACATTTTTTTCAGATTTCATGCAAATTCCAATTGGACATCCATAATTTCACCTTTACAAGAAGCACCATATTTGAACGGACTCTGCTTGCATGTACCTGTTTATCATAAGTGCGTGGCGAGCAGAATGAGTCTAACGAAAATAGGTGACACGTCATTTGATTTGGATCATAACATTTTCGGGAGCATACGATGCACCTTGTCCAGAGCATGCATATGGCTTTATTTAAGGTCTATGCATTAAATATTTTAAAATAAGTGTTTAAAGTCACCTACCCTTGACAAATTCCACGTGAGTCAAACTGATCGCTTTCCACTGGAGGGGCGTGTCCGCTTCTTGTCCCGGGATAGTGTTCGATTCACTGCTTGCACTCGCCATAGTTGATCAGGGACTGCGCATGCACGGGGATATCCCATTAGTGTTTCCGCTGAATTTGTCCGCCTCCGATTGGCCAAGTAATTTGGGGATTCCCCAGACGGAATCCCGACGCAAAATGGCGACCAAAGCACATGCCCTGTCGTTGCAGATTATTGCAAAATGTTCAACAACAAAAGCACGGACATGTAAAATGACCTTGCCCCACGCAGTTGTTGATACGCCGGTGTTTATGCCAGTGGGAACACAAGGGACACTGAAAGGACTTGTTCCAGAACAATTAGAAGAACTGGATTGTAAAATAATGTTAGGCAACACATATCATTTAGGAAATCGCCCAGTAAGTAACACAACATTGCAAGCTCCTCGATTAATTGTACAACAATGCGATTAGATGTATTCACTGTATTCAGTCCTTCACAAGAAAGCAGAGAACTACCCCACATTGGATTAATTACAAGACACGATGAAATGATTAAAACTCATCACATTTTCAGTTTATTCTAACATTGTAAATCATACAGTCAAGAACCAACTTAGTGCGCATACACCTTTGAAGTCCAGCATGAAAAACAAAATCTGGTTCATGTTTGTTTGTATTAAGTACATTGACGTTTGTATTGTCTGCAGGGTCCAGAACTACTGGAAAAAGCCGGGGGGCTCCACAAGTTCATGAGCTGGGATCGAGCCCTTTTGACTGTATGTATCATGAGATTCTTGAGAGGCATTTAGAAGTTGATGAATATATAAGACGAGTATATGGATGACAACTTCTTCTTTATTGTATAACACGACGTTTCTGGGCTACTTCTTGCCCCTTCTTCAGGTGATATAAAGACAGGAGTACAAAACATACTATATATACCAGAATTTACAGGAAGCCAGAAGTGTACATGTATATACAATGAATGAGAGGACCGATGAAAACAATGATAATAGTTATAAAAACAATGATAATAGGGATAAAGTAAAGCCAGTTGACACAAACAATGAGGATAAGGAGATGTGAATACAGCTAATGAAGTGATAATTAGATTTACAGGAAGCCAGAGATGTACATCTATATACAATCAATCAATGACGACAGATCAGAAGTTATAAAAACAATGATGATAAGGAGATGTGTACACAACAAAGTGATATACAGCTAATTAAATTACAATAGAGGCGGCTCTTGTGATGTTCCAGGCACTAGGGAGCTATACACCTTGATCTCTATTAATCTCTGGGGTTAATCTCCTGATGTTGATGGCTTCTAGTATTTTCCGTTTGTGCCAATCGTGAACATTGGTAGTATCATGTTGTATGAAAGATGAGATAGAAACACATTATGTACACACAATATCTACAACCAAACTCCCCTTGCCTGACTTGATTTTAACTTCTTCTAATTTGTAAATCATTGTATGTTTACATTTCCTGACATGCCACAAGCAGATACCATAGAGTCCTGCCATAGACTTGAGTGCTATCATGGATCTGAGCATTAGAAGGGATCTTAGTTCTACCATGGATCTCAGTGCTATTGTGGATCTGAGCAGTACTGTGTTACTGAGTTCTACCATTGATCTGTGTATTACAATGGATTTGAGTAGTACCGTGGAGGGGCGATGGGGTAGCCTTGTGGTTGAAGTGTTCGCTCGTAGCGTTGAAGGCCAGGTTCGATTTCCCATATGGGTACAATGTGTGAAGCCCTTTGCTAGTGTCCCCCACTTTAATATTGCTGGAATATTGCTAAAAGCGCTGTATTATCCATTTCAATCACTTACTCACCCACCAACGCACCCACCCACTCACTCACTCACTCACTCCCTCACTCGGATCTGTGTACTCCCTAGGATCTGCATTTCATCTGAGCACGACCATGGAAGCTTTTCCTAGGTGATACTGTCCACTAAATCTATCTTGTATTTGATGGTTTACAGGACAGTGGGGGTTTCCAGATGGTCTCACTGCTGAAACTTGCAGAGATAACAGAAGAAGGTGTTAAATTCCAGTCTCCACACGATGGTTCCGAGATGCTTCTCACACCTGAAAAGTCTATAGAAATACAGAACTCAATAGGTGAGTGAATGTTTCGTTTCCATAGAACATTGTCAGTCTATTACAATTTACAGTCACAGAATCTCACCACCTGGTCCATCCAGTGTCTTGCATCCTCAAGGGTTGCAAATCTGTACACCCACCTTTAACCCTCACATTCCAATGGGTCTTGTGATCTTAAATTACCAACCCTTGATTTTCATGAACATTGTATTAGCCAGTCAAACATTGACATAAGGACAAATGGACGATGGAGGTAACTCGTTTTGATAAGAAACAACAAAGCCACTGCCAGTTTTGATGGACATGAAGACTTCCTTTGTATCTTAGAATTTTTGAGAACTTTTTTTACATGTCAGTCAGTTTTTCAATGTTGAATTTATCAAAATTCTATTCTGAAAAATGGGTCTGGACACCATGTTGTTGATATTGCCAAACCAACATTAAAGCTGGTTTGTAACCTGCCTTCTGATTGGTCTCAGACTGAGTAGCATAGCAAATCAAACTGGCCAATGAAAATCAACAGCAATTACTAAGACATGGAAGAACCATAGGAATAGTGTCAGTTTACCATGTCTACAGAGATACATGTCCCAGAGATACATCAGAGGCGTGTTCAGAACCACGAGCGCCTCCCGTGAGTGCGTGACCGATTGCCTCCCGTGAGCGCTCGCATCGGCCCTGAACGGACGCGAGCGCTTGGTTACAATAAACCATTCGTGACCAACTCGTGTTGTTCCGGGACAAGCCGAATAGCTTCTTTTATTATATTCTTAAGGGTGAAATACTGACATATTGGTGAAAAGAAAAATGGTATTTTCATTTTCACTCAGTAGAATATCACTTTTGCCTGGAACTAACACTGAAACGCGAACTACGAAATCGATGTCTCGATCATTTATAAACAATGATCAAAATATAATAAATAGAATATATTTTGTTAATGTTGTCAATGGTTACGCCACTCGTGAACATATCAACTTTGTCAGACCACTCGATGAAATATACATGTTATTTGACAACATTAACAAAATATCCTCCATGCCTTCTTTTTGGAGGTTACGGAAAGGGGCGAGTGGTGACGAATGACATTAAACATGATCGCCATGTTGGTTAGCTTGGTGAGGCAGCTATGAGAATGGTTCGCGTGCGCGCGTGGGCGCTCGAACGGGCACAGGCGTTCAGGATCGAGCGTTCGCTCGCTTGCGCAGGCGTCCGCTGTTCTGAACACGCCTCAGGCCTTTATAGGTGGGACTGTGCTGGTTATCTAGGAGAAAGTGTTGGTTTACCATGTCTACAGAGATAAATGTCCTGAGGATACAGAAGTTGAAGGTGAGGGAGACCTGACCAACCTGGAGCCTGTAAAATGTCTCCATTGAACATTTGTGTTGATGTTGGCTTGCTACTCATGCTTCCCAGGGTACTTGCAGGGGCTGACATCATCATGCAACTTGACGACGTTGTCCACAGTACAACAACAGGACCTCGTCTAGAAGAGGCAATGTACAGGTGAGACATTCACATTTAGAGAAAAAAGGTTCTGTGCCACTTTCTTGAAGTCATGAAGATTAACTCATGGCCTGCTTTGAAAAATTCTGGGACAGGCTATTTTCTTTTGTCCTCATTCATGATCCGTGATTCAGTGGCGTCTACTCCTACAGCTGTAGTTCTGAATTTCAGAACAATCCGGTGGCTGGATCGCTGTCTGAAGGCACACCAGCGTCCACATGACCAGAATATATTCCCCATCGTGCAGGGTGGACTTGACAGGGAACTCAGGATCAAGTGTGCAAAAGGTTTGAAGGTTACTAAATCTTGAGTGATCTGTTAGTGAACAGTTCTTAGAGCACATATGATTCCTGTTGTCAAAGAGTTCCAGATAGCATGTGTACAGAGGGTTGAATGGCCCATTTGTAAGGTCTATGTATGTACCAAATAATCCAGTGATGTCTGTAGATGAGACAAGATATTGAATGAAAACCTCCCACCAACATCCAACAGTCTAAAACAATACATTGAGCGAGTAAACTACCAAGTGCATGTTTGGAAACAGTCTCTCGATCAATCATGAACATTACTTCACCAGTTGACCATGGTTGGAGCATTTGTGATGGTCAGCTTATCCCTATTCTGATGTCGAGAGATCCTGCTCCCCGTGGATTGGTTGAACTGACATCGTGTAAATGCCAAAAGTCAGCATGCCAGCAGAAAGAATGATATAGTGTGTACAGAGGCATGTCTTTTTGTATGGCAGGTGATTGTTGCCCGAACACCTTTGACTTGTTGCCAGTAGATGACTCTGATTCTGACATAAGTGAGTGTGTGAATGAGTGAGTTTAGTTTTACACCGCACTCAGCAATATTCCAGCTATATGGCGGCGGTCTGTAAATAATCAAGTCTGGACCAGACAATCCAGGGATAAACAGCCTGAACATCAATCTATGCAATTGGGCTACAATGACATGTGTCGAGCCTGACAACCAGATCCCGTTAGTCGTATTTTACCTTTTTGTAATATTTTGCTTAGTTTCTACATTCAAACTTGGGGTTAGTGGATTATTTTGTGGGCATATTTCAGGCATAGCTGGCTCGACTGGCTAGCAAAATTTGGAAACTATTTCGAACACTTTTGGCATGCAGGTTCCTTCATATGAAAGTGTTATCTTCTTAAACTCACCGAGATTTTATTGTTTTTGTATTTTTAAATCTCACAAAAATCATGGGTTTTTTTTACAAAAAGTTGGTAAAAAAAGAAATAAACAAGGTTTCAGTAATAACTGTAAGCATCTGTAAGCAACATCATTGTCATAAATGATGTTACAAGAATACTCTTTTTCTATTTTTCTGAGTATCTTTTGCAAGAATTGGTCTGTGACTCACTATAGATGCTTGTGTTAAATACGGATAAGTTGATGACAAGTCAGCTACAAACATTGTGGCTCTAGAAGAAGAATGAGGACTATTTTTATGGATATACAACTTCTTTATTCTATATAGGCAACATTTCGACATAGATTCTAATGTCGTTGTCAAGCAAGTGGTGATAATGACATTAGAATCTATCGGGGCGTAGCTACCATTATAAAAAAAAGCCCAGGCTTACACATTATTGTTGCTAAAAAGGTTGGCCAAGCCTCCAATACTATCCAAATATAAAGCTTTGCAACCTATCGGGCCTACACGAAAAAATTGGCTTGCTATGCGCCTGTCTATGTCGAAACGTCGCCTATACAGAGAAAAGAAGTTGTATGTCCATAAAAATAGTCCTCATTCTTCATCTACCCAACTACTAGAATGCCAATCAAAGAAGTCATTGTGGCTCTATTTATAAATGGACCCGTGAAGGTCCGCGTTAGAATTGGCCTTCAGTAACCCATGCTTGATGCTTGTCGTAAGAGGCGACTAACGGGATCGGGTGGTCAGGCTCGCTGGCTTGGTTGAAACATGTTATCAGTTCCCATTTGCGCAGATCGATGCTTATGCTGTTGATCACTGGATTGTCTGGTCCAGACTCTTTTATTTACAAACCGCCGCCATATAGCTGGAATATTGCTGAGTGCATCGTAAAACTAAACTTACTCACTCACTCACACTATATTTAAATCTGATAGCACAATTTGGGGTCAGTTTTACAGACACCACTACTGGGGTAATGAAACTGGAATTTTCATGAGCAAAAATAAAATACTAACATGCTTCCATAGACAGGAATAACATATTAAAGTGAAACTGTCTTTTTTCCCCAGAGTTAACAAAGCGTGATGTTCCTGGCTTCGCAATTGGTGGTTTGAGTGGCGGAGAGGAAAAAACTTACTTCTGGAAAATGGTGGACGTGTCTACAGACTACTTGCCTGAAAACAAACCCAGATACCTTATGGGAGTCGGGTAAGTGTACATTGGGTGGAGTGTTTGGAATAGGAGAAGAAATCAATTACAGAGGACATCTTTTGTTATTTCACAGACTTTTTATGCTAACATTTGTTGTGCAAAATGGCTGTGAAGTTGCTGAAAGCTGTTTTAACTTTTAACATTAGGATATTGACAAGGATCCCCCTGGGTTTTCAATCAGTTCATCTTCTGTGACATTGTCAATCAAATATTCATGATAAATTGTCTCTATTTGATGTGGATATATAGATGAATGCCATTTCAATCAAATATTCATGATAAATTGTCTCTATTTGATGTGGATATATAGATGAATGCCATTTCGAAGTTAATACAATCTGGAAAGTGTGTTAATGACATTTGCATGTGTAATTTGGAACACTTCCATACAGTTGGGAGGGGCAGTGGGGTAGCGTAGTGGTTAATGTGTTCGCTTGTCATGTCGAAGTGAGTGAGTGAGCGAGTTTAGTTTTACACCACACTCAGCAATATTCCAGCTATTATGATGGCGGTCTGTAAATAATCAAGTCTGGACCAGACAATCCAGTGATCAACAGCTTACGCATCAATCTACACAATTGGGATACGATGACATGTGTCAACCAAGTCAGCGAACCTGACCACCCGATCCAGTTAGTCGACTCGTATGATAAGCATGGGTTACTGAAGATCAATTCTAACCCGGATCCTCACAGGTTTATGCAGAAGACCCGGGTTCGATTCCCCACTTCCCCACATTTGTACAATGTGTGAAGCCCATTTCTGGTGTCCCCGTCGTGATATTGCTGGAATATTGCTAAAAAATCAGCGTAAACCAAACTAAACTCACTCACTCACTCATGATGACACCTAGTAATCATAGGCTGGGTGAAATCCATCTAGTCCCTTGCAGCTATCACTCATGGTAGCATCTTCAATATTACTGACAATACTTGAATTCAGGTTTGCTGAAGATCTGGTGGTTTGTTCGGCTCTGGGCTGCGACATGTTCGACTGTGTATTTCCTACAAGAACTGCCGTAAGTGTCCTCATCAGTTACAGTTATGGTTTGGTTGAACAAGATGTTTTGGTTGAGCTTATAGAAATTATTCCATTATTCAAAAAAGGACTTCGCCCAAATGACAAGTATTTTTCAAATGAGAAAAATCAAAAACATATTTGATGTGTAAATTCAGAATTGAAGTTCAGGGAATTGGCTTTGATAGTGTCCTTTGAGACCAAAAATCAATTTCAAATCCTTTGTAGACATAGTGTTCGACAAGAATAATAAATAATCAATTCCAAATCCTTTGTAGACATAGTGTTGCACAAGAATAATTATGCTACCAAGAAGAAAGTGTAGCTAGAATGACTGAAAATAATTCAGAATATTTAGAAAGCACCTTTCCAGTCTTCATATCCTGCTCAAAGCTCACATAAGGATGCTCAAAGCGCACAAACTGATTATTATTACCCCGGAAAATCCAAACTGCCTGTGAAGCACAAGAAGGTTAATAGTCACATGACTTATCCCACCGGGTACCCATTTTCTGTGATTACACAATGCCTTTTAGAAAGTGGTCAAATGTAACATATGTTGTATTTGGGATCACACTTTCTTAGTAAAGTACAGATTCTAGTACTATTGTTGGGTTGAGTCCCATCCACAATTCGAACCCACACCCTCAGAGTCAGACACCTAATCGCCAGCACACAAAGTCAGACGCCTAACCCGCTCAGCCACTGCGACTTCCACAAAAATGGAAGTCGGACAACTGGTAGACTAGACTGCGGACTTTGTGTATCCCTCTGATAAGAGTTAATTGGCATGGCTCCGTCGGCCGAAAGCTATGAGTACACAATGACTTCTAAGAAAGTGTAATCCCAAATATAACATATGTTACCCATTTTCTGCTGGGTGAACAGTGGCAATTTTGAACAACCTCACTTGCCTAAGGTGAGACCACATACATCACATGTGCTTCGTTGTGGGACAGGACTGAAGTCCTGAAAACTCTCAGGAGTCAAGCTGCCAAACACGGCCACCCATCCAACGACTCTCTGTGCCACCGTTGCTTAACTTCACCTGATTGTGACCTGAGCTCTACGCACAGAACCACACAACACCACAAGGCAGATGGTTTATGTTGGGGGAAACTATGTATTGGTAAGCAAGTGTGTGATCCAAGATGGCAGTGTTTGTGTATGAGGAGAACAGATCACAGGCAACTTATCTCATTGTTCAAGGGGACTATGCGTATGGATTGGTCAGGTTAAAGTGACCTGGTCACCCAGGTACTTTTCAATAATAACCGTTCGGTTGTAAAAACATGAGAAAAAGGCATGACAGAATTTTTAAAACAAATTTAACTGTTGGATATTTATTTTACAGAGGTTCGGCACAGCCTTAACACCAGATGGACAGCTGAATCTGAAGAATAACACCTTTGCTCAGGACTTCCGCCCAATAGATGCAGATTGTCCATGTTCCACATGCAAGACGTACACCCGAGCTTACCTCAACACTGTGGTTACCACGGAAACAGTGGCCTGTCAACTCCTCACAGTACACAATGTCGCCTACCAGGTTGGTACCTAGATCAGGGGCTAGATCACACTCCGGCACAGCGATGACTTAACATAACATCACTGCCACAGGCTAATTTGCATATGACGTGACCGGACTTTTCTCTTGTGTGTAATCAAACGCGCATATTCATAAGAAGAAGAGACTTGACTCACGAAAGCTTTCCGGCGCTCTCTTCATAATGTTTTACATTTTACATATATATTCTTCCACACCTGCGACAGTTAGGTCTATGACAGTACATATTTAGATATCAAACTGGCTGCATCGTTTGCTCTCCGTTGGCTTCGATGACAGCACGTGGAGCCGTACAACCTATGTAAACAAAGGATCGCTACGCAAATCGAAATAGTGTTACATGTTTTTGGATATTTTCTCAGTGAAACTAATTCATTCTATTAAAGATGTTTAGTTAGATGTGTAGACTCGTCAAAAATAAAAGAGTAAAAGAAATCTGCACATTATATTGAATGGACGGTGCAAGATGTGACGAATCGACACATTTTTCTAGCATGTGGCAGAGGTACTATGCTGGCTTGCCGCATGGAACTGTGGGTAGGAGAGTGGGGCTAGATCTGCAGCCTATGCTTGTCATAGATGACTAACGGGATCGGGTGGACAGGCTCGCTTACTTGGATGGTGTGTGTGTCGTCACAAACTGCTGTAGCTGTAGCTGAAATACTGCTGAGTAGGGCTACAAACAAACAAACAAACAAATCAGTTTGGTGCAGCGTCTGCAGGATATCAGTCAATTCCCATGATGCAGTGGTCAACTAGTGTTGACATCAGTCAATTCCCATGATGCAGTGGTCAACTAGTGTTGGCATCAGTCAATTCCCATGATGCAGTGGTCAACTAGTGTTGGCATCAGTCAATTCCCATGATGCAGTGGTCAACTAGTGTTGGCATCAGTCAATTCCCATGATGCAGCGGTCAACTAGTGTTGGCATCAGTCAATTCCCATGATGCAGTGGTCAACTGGTGTTGGCAAGTTCCACCATAACCTGTGTAGAGTTGTCTCCCTTTGCTGCCAGGATTAACAAATTGTGCTCTCAAAGCACTGATGTCCCTTGGTGATAATCCTTGTTCTTATCAGCGTCATACATGACTTCATGTACGCTGTTTCACCAAAGTGGAAAATGTCTTCAACCAGCATAATTTGGGCTTTCACAGGTGAAGCTGATATATATTTTGAAATTATGCTGATTGAGATGAACAAACCCCTAGAAATCATCTTGATAATGAATATGAGGTGTGATTAAGCTTATATGAAGTTCATAATAGAAATGATATGACCTGATTTGTATTAAAGCATGTTTAGAAGTTTGCAATCAGGGCCATCATTTAACATATTTAATGGGGAATAACTTGACGTATATTAATTTGAGTTTTAGGGAAATTAAGTTATTTCTAAAAACAGGGCCATTCTCTACTCATCCATACAATCTATTATCAATCTATTATACACAATATATTTTGCTTATTTTGAGGTAAAACTTAAAAATGGTGAAAGGTTGTTATTAAATCAGTGAGTGAGTGAGTTTAGTTTGGTTTACGCTGATTTTTTAGCAATATTCCAGCAATATCACGACGGGGGACACCAGAAATGGGCTTCACACATTGTACAAATGTGGGGAAGTGGGGAATCGAACCCGGGTCTTCTGCATAAACCCATGAGGATCCGGGTTAGAATTGATCTTCAGTAACCCATGCTTATCATACGAGTCGACTAACTGGATCGGGTGGTATCTGTTAAACATAGTCAGGTTCGCTGACTTGGTGACAAATGTATTGTATCCCAATTGTGTAGATTGATGCTCATGCTGTTGATCACTGGATTGTCTGGTCCAGACTTTATTATTTACAGACTCCTTCCATATATCTGGAATATTGCTGAGTGCGGTGTAAAACAACCAACCAACAACCTACCAAATCTTCTGAGCATGTTATATATAGTAAATTATGTTTATTATGAATATATTTATAACAAAATCATGGATATAAAGAACTGTTGCTTTCTTGTCCTGGGCCTAGATTTTCGAAGCTCTCTTAGCGCTAAGATAGTCGTAAGTGCCATTCATTAACATTAACTTACGACTATCTTAGCGCTAAGAGAGCTTCGAAAATCTGGGCCCTGGCCGCTTGCCGTATATCATAGCAGAACGAACTATGGTTATGACAAGATAAACTTAGTGGTCTCATTGAGATCGTATTCTGTAGTTTGCTGTACTATATGTGACACCAGTACTCCATCAACTCTTTGTATGCCTTTGACCATGAACATATTGTTTCCACTTCATGTTCGCTGTTTCTTCCAGCTGACGTTAATGAAAGGAATCCGAGAAAGCATCATAGAAGATAAATTTCCAGAATTCATCAAGGAGTTTTTCCGTCGGTACTTTCCTAAGGGAGATTACCCTGCATGGGCAGTGGAGGCGCTGGCCAAGGTCAATGTCAGTTTATCTTGACCAAAATCGGTGTATATTGTATCCAGTCATAAATATATATATATGTAAAACTACTTAGTCGTTTATGTTGTATGTCATAAGAATTGTAGCGTACAAACAAGAAGATGGGTCAAACGTTTCAAAGTATTTATTCAACAACAGTAAAAACTGACAATACTGTGTAGTGGTATGAAGTATTAGGGTTAGAGAATTGATGTACAGTTTGCAAACTTTCAAACAATTTCAATATTCACAGACCATAAACTGACTCCAAGGCACAAGGTTTATGAAAAATATTCTGCATATGCATGTTGAAACTGTAAATATATATTATACATAGTGAAAAAAACTTGAGAATTTGCATGTCAAAGGTTCAATAAATTTGATGTATATAGTAAATAGCAAGATGTGCAGATAAAACGTGAGTAGAGTTATAACAAGATATGACATGTATGCATTGTCAAAACAGTGCAATAAGCATGATGATGATGTAAATATAACAAATATTTCATATAGAAGATATAATTTATACATACAGGTATATGGCTTAGGATCTTTGGCACTTTCGGTAGTAAACAATGTTTATGGATCTGCGTGAAAGACAAGAGCTAACAAGGCAGAGCAGCTTAACAACAGGACACATATATGCATATGTTTTTCTGGAATGGTCTGTTAACTCTTTGTTATACCAGTTTATTGAGGATGGAATGGTTTAATGGCTGACTCGGAGAACACTTCCGTTGAGAAATGACTAGTGTTGAAACTTACAGATCAGATGACACAGAACAAGAGTGTTTTTCTCATGGGACACAAGTGATTCAGACTTCTTTGCGAATTTGAATTATGAGGCAACACTTTCAAACAACACACTTTAGTTTTAAGGTTTAATTCTGAATATTGAAAATATATTCTGATGCCTGAAATTTAATATATTTTTAACCAACTGTTGAAAATAACTGCTCTTACATACTATCAAAATGAGATTTTACACACACTCATTGTGAATAACGTTCTAGGGATGAATGGGTATTTGGATTTGGAAGTTGATGAAAGAAAAGTAGTAAGTATTAAGGATTCATATACTGTATAGGGCATTGAAATTTCAATTATTTAATCATTTGCAATTTACAGTTTGTTGTTAGTAAATACCACAAGGAGTTGGTAATAGTCAGAATTTCAAATGAAATGTTATTAGCAAAAAGTTTTCTAAAACATGGTACTACTCATTTATTTTGTGTTTCAGCTGATATGGAAGTATATACTTACAATAAAAGTATATACTTAAAATATATCAAAAATTGCTGTTTGAAAAAAGTGTCAAAGTAAATATTGCAGAATATATTTACTAATTCATTGTGATATTAACAAAGCAAAACCCAAGAGGCACTTGTGTGTTGGCTCCCCCATGATGTCCAACTGATACCCTAGTGGCACAAGTATGATGACACCACTATGATGTTTAACAGACACCCTAGAGACACAGGTATGATGACACCACCATGATGTTTAACAGACACCCTAGAGACACAGGGGTGTTGACATCACCTTGATGTTTAACAGACACCCTAGAGACACAGGTGTGATGACACCACTATGATGTTTAACAGACACCCTAGAGACATGGGTGTGATGACACCACGCTGATGTTTAACAGACACCCTAGAGACACAGGTGTGATGACACCACTATGATGTTTAACAGACACCCTAGAGACACAGGTGTGATGACACCACCATGATGTTTAACAGACACCCTAGAGACACAGGTGTGATGACACCACTGTGATGTTTAACAGACACCCTAGAGACACAGGTGTGATGACACCACACTGATGTTTAACAGACACCCTAGAGACACAGGTGTGATGACACCACCATGATGTTTAACAGATACCCTAGAGACACAGGTGTGTTGACACCACCACTATGTTTAACAGATACCCTAGAGCCACAAGTGTGATGACACCACCATGATGTTTAACAGACACCCTAGAGACACAGGTGTGTTGACACCACCTTGATGTTTAACAGACACCCTAGAGACACAGGTGTGATGACACCACTATGATGTTTAACAGATACCCTATAGGCACAGGGGTGTTGACACCACCTTGATGTTTAACAGATACCCTAGAACCACAGGTGTGATGGCATCACACTGATGTTTAACAGACACCCTAGAGACACAGGTGTGATGACACCACTATGATGTTTAACAGACACCCTAGAGACACAGGTGTGATGACACCACCTGATGTTTAACAGACACCCTGTTTAACAGACACCCTAGAGACACAGGTGTGATGACACCACTATGATGTTTAACAGACACCCTAGAGACACAGGACACCCTAGAGACACAGGTGTGATGACACCACATGATGATGTTTAACAGACACCCTAGAGACACAGGTGTGATGACACCACCATGATGTTTAACAGACACCCTAGAGACACAGGTGTGATGACACCACCATGATGTTTAACAGACACCCTAGAGACACAGGTGTGATGACACCACTGTGATGTTTAACAGACACCCTAGAGACACAGATGTGTGATGACACCACTGTGATGTTTAACAGACACCCTAGAGACACAGGTGTGATGACACCACCATGATGTTTAACAGACACCCTAGAGACACAGGTGTGATGACACCACCATGATGTTTAACAGACACCCTAGAGACACAGGTGTGATGACACCACCATGATGTTTAACAGACACCCTAGAGACACAGGTGTGATGACACCACCATGATGTTTAACAGACACCCTAGAGACACAGGTGTGATGACACCACCATGATGTTTAACAGACACCCTAGAGACACAGGTGTGATGACACCACCATGATGTTTAACAGACACCCTAGAGACACAGGTGTGATGACACCACCATGATGTTTAACAGACACCCTAGAGACACAGGTGTGATGACACCACCTTGATGTTTAACAGACACCCTAGAGACACAGGTGTGATGACACCACCATGATGTTTAACAGACACCCTAGAGACACAGGTGTGATGTGATGTTTAACAGACACCCCAGGTGTGATGACACCACCATGATGTTTAACAGACACCCTAGAGACACAGGTGTGATGACACCACCATGATGTTTAACAGACACCCTAGAGACACAGGTGTGATGACACCACCATGATGTTTAACAGACACCCTAGAGACACAGGTGTGATGACACCACCATGATGTTTAACAGACACCCTAGAGACACAGGTGTGATGACACCACTGTGATGTTTAACAGACACCCTAGAGACACAGGTGTGATGACACCACTGTGATGTTTAACAGACACCCTAGAGACACAGGTGTGATGACACCACCATGATGTTTAACAGACACCCTAGAGACACAGGTGTGATGACACCACTGTGATGTTTAACAGACACCCTAGAGACACAGGTGTGATGACACCACCATGATGTTTAACAGACACCCTAGAGACACAGGTGTGATGACACCACTGTGATGTTTAACAGACACCCTAGAGACACAGGTGTGATGACACCACACTGATGTTTAACAGACACCCTAGAGACACAGGTGTGATGACACCACCATGATGTTTAACAGACACCCTAGAGACACAGGTGTGATGACACCACCATGATGTTTAACAGACACCCTAGAGACACAGGTGTGATGACACCACCATGATGTTTAACAGACACCCTAGAGACACAGGTGTGATGACACCACCATGATGTTTAACAGACACCCTAGAGACACAGGTGTGATGACACCACCATGATGTTTAACAGACACCCTAGAGACACAGGTGTGATGACACCACCATGATGTTTAACAGACACCCTAGAGACACAGGTGTGATGACACCACTGTGATGTTTAACAGACACCCTAGAGACACAGGTGTGATGACACCACACTGATGTTTAACAGACACCCTAGAGACACAGGTGTGATGACACCACCATGATGTTTAACAGACACCCTAGAGACACAGGTGTGATGACACCACCATGATGTTGACACCAACAGACACCCTAGAGACACAGGTGTGATGACACCACCATGATGTTTAACAGACACCCTGTGATGACACCACCATGATGTTTAACAGACACCCTAGAGACACAGGTGTGATGACACCACTGTGATGTTTAACAGACACCCTAGAGACACAGGTGTGATGACACTGTGATGTTTAACAGACACCCTAGAGACACAGGTGTGATGACACCCTGATGTTTAACAGACACTAGAGAGGTGTGATGACACCACCATGATGTTTAACAGACACCCTAGAGACACAGGTGTGATGACACCACCATGATGTTTAACAGACACCCTAGAGACACAGGTGTGATGACAGGTGTGATGTTTAACAGACACCCTAGAGACACAGGTGTGATGACACCACCATGATGTTTAACAGACACCCTAGAGACACACAGTGTGATGACACCACCATGATGTTTAACAGACACCCTAGAGACACAGGTGTGATGACACCACCATGATGTTTAACAGACACCCTAGAGACACAGGTGTGATGACACCACCATGATGTTTAACAGACACCCTAGAGACACAGGTGTGATGACACCACCATGATGTTTAACAGACACCCTAGAGACACAGGTGTGATGACACCACCATGATGTTTAACAGACACCCTAGGTGTGAGACACAGGTGTGATGACACCACCATGATGTTTAACAGACACCCTAGAGACACAGGTGTGATGACACCACCATGATGTTTAACAGACACCCTAGAGACACAGGTGTGATGACACCACCATGATGTTTAACAGACACCCTAGAGACACAGGTGTGATGACACCACCATGATGTTTAACAGACACCCTAGAGACACAGGTGTGATGACACCACCATGATGTTTAACAGACACCCTAGAGACACAGGTGTGATGACACCACTGTGATGTTTAACAGACACCCTAGAGACACAGGTGTGATGACACCACCATGATGTTTAACAGACACCCTAGAGACAGGTGTGATGACACCACCATGATGTTTAACAGACACCCTAGAGACACAGGTGTCGGCACTACCTC